GAGTGAGTGAGTGAGTGAGTGAGTGAGTGAGTGAGTGAGTGAGTGAGGTGTGTGTGTGTGTGAGATGTGAGAGGAGGCGAGGAGGAGGACGAGGAGGACGAGGAGGACGAGGAGTCGGGCGGGATGGCAGCCAACAAAACTAGAACCCCACACAGAGATGTGGGGAAAAACAAAAACAAAACCAAACCGTCCTCGTTTTCACCCAGCTGTTGGTGCTCATCGCAGCAAGAACGACGTCTTCCAGCGCGGCAAAACGCGTCCAACGCGCGACACGGTGGCACCTCAGGTGGCACCCCAAACATCAACCATGAGACCCGTGAGATCCTCGAATCCCCTGTCCTTCCATGTTCCTTCTCCTTTTTCTGGCGCGAAGCCTCCGAAGCGGGTTCCTTTGGAAGCCAGGGACGGCGGCTTAGCAGCTTTCCGCGCCGCCGCGAAAGCGGCGCCACTGTCTCGTGGCTTCACCCCAAGAAAAGGGCCACAAGCGGCATGAGAAGGATGCGTTTTGGGACACTGCTCCAGATCACTCACGCGTGCGATCTCGCTGGCACCGTTCGCGCTGGCACTCTCGGTGGTCACGTCAGCTGGCACCCGCCGAAGGAGTTCATCCGTCCTCACCTCAAAAAGATCCAAGGAATCGACTCGCCAGAAACCCAGCAGCAAATCGTGGATTGCACATGGACGGAATCCCTGCAGCTGCTTCCGTCAGCAGTAGCTTTTGCGTATTGGAATCCATCTACAATATTTGATATACTGCATGCTTGTATATGATCTATGATCTGATTCTGCCTGTTACTAAAACCTCTCCGGAATTCAGGGTTGCCTTTTTGGAGGGTGGGGCAATTCTGAGGACATCTGAAAACACTTCCAACATGCAGGGCTCAGAGTCAAAGGGAGTTCAGTGCACCTGATATTTTTCAGATCCACTAGGAACCCCCCCAACAAACATCAATCTCTTCAGAGTCCGACGAAGCAACACACATCTTTTGGCCCCACCCATCCCCGTCGTGTCTTTTGGTGGGTACCAGGCACGTCGCATGCCAAAACGGGAACGCTCCACCCCTTCGAGCGCCCGAACAGCGGATGGGCGACTCCCGACTCCCGTCACCCCATGTTCGTCCACTCCTCAGCCCCCACTTGGCTGAGTTGAGCCTGTTGAGTGCCAAGTCGCTTCTGCTTTCGGCGATCCGCTGGTTCTTCGCCCAAAGATTGCAGGTACTCCTGCGGCGAACAAAGGATCCGCGACAGGAGAGAACGTCGTCTGATTGCTCCCAAAAGGCTCAAGCCATCCAAAGAACATACTCATTCGTGGTTCTTCTAAGTCACTAAATTCATCCCCAGCCTGGGCTGTAAAAGGTCACTTATATAACTTAATATAGGCCTTTCAAATGTCACAAAGAAAGAGACTCCAAAAAGGTCACGAACAGAGACCTCCCAAAAAGCTCGTGGTTTGGGAAGCTCTTCGTGATCAAGGACCGAACCCAAAAGGGCCGGATCGCCGATGCCTGCACCCACTGTATTGAAAGCGAGCGAGCGAGCGTTGGGCCGAACCATCTGGGATCTCAAAGGAGCACTTTGAAGCAGAAGAATCCCAAAGAAGCATCTCTTTTCGAACTCGCATCATTCTCTTATTCTCTGTGCTTCTCGTCTCTGTACACGCTCCTCAAACTCGCATCCCGAGCCAATACCGACCCCAGACCGATCGCCCCCAGACCGACCGTCTGCGCCTTGAGCTCATCGGTCTTCCGCGCGGATCGGCTTTGGTATCCTCGATCAAAGAGCTGGGGACCTGAGGCGACCGACCAGCCACGTTTGGTGGCGAAGCCCGCTTAGGAACTGGGCAACCCGCCAGTGGAGTTATGCGGTGTTTTTTGGGGGGGGAGTCCTTCTTGGAAGGTGTGTAATTGTCTCCAAATGCGAAAGGAATCGATCAACACACCCCTGTTTATCATCCTGCTGAGCTTAGGCATCTGCCATCATCGGACCCTTCTCAGACGATCAAACTCGTATGCGTTTCTTGGCGTGCCTTGAGCTACGAAAACCACAGCGGTTCTACATGAAAACCAGAACACTGCGGGTCCATGTGCTCTTCATATGAGGATACCCTCCACTCTTCGGCTTCAGTCACAGCCCTGTTTCCCTAGAAAGGGCAGTCTCCCAGAGTCTCCCAGTTGAAAAGTTCCAGAAGTTTGGAAAGTAGGGACAGTAGAGAAAGCCCTGACTTCCCAACTGCTCACTTCCAATTCGGAGTGATCATCGAAACCACTTCGAGCTGTTCCTCCCGCCATCTTCAGGAACACCACTGGCCTGAACACCCATGGCTCGGGACGGCTCAGCCATCAAACCTCGGATCCAAGAGGCTGATGCCCACGTTGGACTCCTTAGTTGATGGACGAATTGGATCACTGACCCAGTCATAGACTGGCTCCTACTGGGCGAGAAGCGCGGGATGCGACGCAAGCGACGCAAGAAGCTTAGGAGGTTTGTACTGCATTCTTCTGGAGGTTGTCTTATTTTGCTGTTAACTCAAATATGCTTTTATGTGAGTGCAATCATTGTCCAAATCCTCGATGGGGTGGGGTGACTAAACCCAAAACTGTACGACTACTCCCCCAAAGAATTACTTGACACAGGCCTCAGGGTTGCTTGGATTTCCAAGCAGGGATGGAATTGCAAATATCTACAGTATGCCAAACCAACACCCAAGAATACAGTTGGTCGAGAGGTTCCCCCGTTTGAACAGCTACGTACCTTTTGGAACGGCTCAATTCCGAACGTGGTTAGTTGGAAAGGGAGCTTTGTCGAAGATGTTCTTACTGTATAGATGTCTTGAAGATTTGAGGTTTCTCAGGGTACAGTCCGGTTAGAATGGCTGAATCCCACTTAGAATGGCTTAATCTCACTTAGAATGGCTTCTTCTCAGCCATTCCTTTGAAAAACAAGAACCATTCCCTCCGCATCTGCTGCCTCGCCACTAGCAACTGCAGCGGCGTCTTGCCACGCACGGCGCCTCGCCAGGCTGTGGCGTGGACATCGGCGCGCTGCTCCACCAGGCGTTTGGCCAGCTTCACCTGGGCTGAAGCCGGTGACAACAGCAGCGCGCGCGTCGTAAAGCCATCGAGTGGCAATCAGAGTGGCCTGGGGAGCGGTTGGAGAAGCCTTTGGGCCTTTGGGTAACTTGTGGTTCCGGATCCATGTGCAGCGTGCGACACGGTTTTGACACGGTCGACACGGTGACTGTGCCTCCCATGGTTTGGGGGGCAGCTGTTGGGTAGTGACCCACACTGCACATCAATCACAAGGTGTTGAACAAATGTCCAATAGCAAAAAGAACACATGTGAACACTGACCACTGTAATCCATTGAAATCCTGGAAGACAATCTTCTCAAGAGTACAGTGGTTCGAGTGTGTCATAGCTTCTGCAGATGACTCCCACACGGATCACTCCCATGAAGTGTGTCACACGTTCCGATGACTGCCATCGGGCACGGAAACCACTTCACCACTGGAGCACGGAAAGCCGGAGGCAACAGGGCACACAAGACCAAACCAAATGCTTTGACATGCAAAATATACCATCTGACTCTCTATCGAACATGAAAGTGCATGGCAATTGGCCTTTGTGAGCGTGTTCCCGCCAAGAACAGAAGAGCACCAGGACACAGGCTGATATCGAATCCATCTTCTCCTTGTTGCACAAGACTTGTGCGACCCACCAATTCTCACAGTCTTGAGTTGTTGGCGTTTGCAATTCTTCCTTTCCCAATGACTAACGTCTTCCGCAAATGGCGCACGGCCCACGTCTTCCGCCCAGTCACATCGCCATCCCACATGCAAATGCTGTGCAGCGGCGTTCGCCCGCTCGCGTCCCGCAACGTGGGGTCCGCTCGGGCCCTGGCGGCCGAGAGGACCGCCCCGATGAACCGCCTGTGAGGGGTGCCCTCCTGCATTTGGAGTGTGAAACCAACTTGGGGGGGGTTGAAATCAAGAGTCAGATGTCAAGAGTCTACTATTCAGATAGAAGAGGCCAGTGACCTCATCAGGTGTCAACCAACGGGCCATGTCATGCCACCTTCTTGTTCTTCCCCGCATGTTCGCCTGGTCGGGCGTGGTCGCCGTTCACCGGTGCTCATTACCTATCCCCAACCAGAAAGGCTCGGAAATGATCAGAGCCGGTGAAGATCTCTCCAATCGTTACAGAGCCGGTTAAGGGGCGCAAAGCCAATCAGAGACGATCATGAATTGTTGTCTAACAGTCTGAACAGAACCAGACCTTGGTCCTTCCCACTTTTCCCCCATCTCAACAGGATGCCTCTAGAGAGGCTTCGGAGGCTGCAAAGGATAGACCCTGGAACTTGTTCACCACCTTCGTGACGGTATTTCAACCCTGCCCCCAAGCCTGGGGGGTGATTTATCAATTATCCTACATTCATTTGGACATGTCTTCCCTTTCACAAGCCACCGGTGCCTCCTGCGTCCCACCCCACCTTCCGCGCCTGAAGAGCTCCTCCAGGATCGCCGATCGCCCGCTGGCGTCCTCCCATTCCGTGGCCGAGCGTGTGCGCTCCGCCAGGAAGTGCAAGGGGCTCTTCAAGCCGAACTGATGCCTTGGCTGCGGTGTAGACACGACACCGAGCACTCCAGTCGACCATTTTCATAAATGGATGGGTATTTACTGATTCCTGAGGAAGTGGGCAGGATCTGGCTCGCGACCGAATTGTGAAGGCCTCTGCAACTCGGCCTTTGAGGTCCAGCCAGGATCTGGCTCAACCCGTTTGAGAGGACATTCGGACAGCGAGTCAGCGATATAAAACATGGATGGACCAGGTGTGGTGCAAAATCTTTATTAAAACAATGGTAGTTGGAAGCCTAGGGTATTGGGTCTATTCAATTGTAAAGGCCCACAAAGATGGCTAGACCTCTATTCGGATGTCTGCAGCTATATATATTATATTATAACAAATAGATACGCAATAAACTCTACAGTACAGCCCCCCCAGATTGCCAGAACTGGCGAACCAGTGCCAAGTTAACCAAGTTAGGCTAGCTTATGTATTAATCACCACGTAGGTGATAAGACCCCTATATCGGAGTCTACTCCAAACAAACATCAAGACGGAGCCCCGGCGGACCGCGGGTCTGTCATTTTTCGGACCGGTGGACCCCACGGGATCCCCGCGACGCGCAGAGAGACGCAGTTGAGGGGCAGTTGGATGTTGCAAAGGCTGGGCTCTTGCTGCAACTGTTTCGACACCTGCCGAGTTGGGGCGGGCCATACCGGGTTCCGAAAAGGGCCAACGCGTGGCACATGCGTAGGGCTTCCTCCGCGCGGGGCGTGCTCATGGGTGGGTGGAATGCAAGCTATTGCAGCTATGGACCACGACGACCACGTGGTCGCGTGTATCACGTGGTCAACGACGACCACAAATTGGAAGATGTGATTCACAGACCAGTGACTTGTTCTCTGCCAATCTCAGTGTCTGCAGCTACATGCCACATGAAAACACGCGGTTTGGTCACTTTGGTCCTTCTTCACCTGGATTCCCTGGAGAAGACTCCCTTTCGTCCACATCTATGGACTTGCTTAGCTCCATCCCGAAAGAATTCCGCTCTACCTTCAAACTCACTTGTGCAAGCTACAAAAGCAACTGGGAAACTCAGAAACTCGGGGGAGGTGTGTTTCATGTCTTCAAAACCACCGCAGGGGCACTTGAACCAGCTGGCCGCGCTTCGCGAACCAGCTTCGCTTCACCCGGCTGCGAACCGCGCCTGGTCCACTTGCCTTCGTACCAAGGCATCGTAGAAGGCCAGCTTCATCTGACAGGCAGGGAGGTCGGGAGGTCGCAAGGACCCATCGATATCTGCTGGATGGAGGTCTTTTGTTCGAGTGAATGGGCTGGATAGGGCTGGATACTATGCCATGAATCAAAGATCAAACTACTGGATCCTAGGGCTCCAAGTACCTTCTACGAAGGTGGGACTGGGGTGGGTTTAGAGGGTCCAAATACCTTCTAACAAGGTACGACTGGAGCGCTAGGGGGAAGCAAATTTAGAGGTCTGAGCCTGCGTAACATGATCTGGGATTCTGGAGTTCTGCTCGAAAACAAGGTAACCAGGTAGGCATGGATCCCTTGGTGACCCTCTCCTAGTTCCTGAATGTTCCTACAGTAACATGGATATCCACAGCCATGTGGAGGAAGTCAGCCAGGATCTGGAGGAGGGTGTAGAATGAGACATGTGGAACTCTTCCCTCCTTTCCCTACTTCGCTGCGAACCACCACGGAGGCTTCGCGCCGCCTCCCTGTCACCCCACACACGCCGCGCCGCCTTCTCCTCTTTCACCTTCTGTCGGATGGACGCATCAAAGGCATCGATGCCCACGGAGGATTCGATCTCCTGCAAGATCCTCAGAGCCCGAAGCCACGCCAGCGGAGGGCGGAGGGCGGAGTCGCATTGGTGGTTTCCATGTGGTGCTGTGATGCGAGACTATGTCACAGAGTAGTCTCATCTGTCCTTCGAGGTCCTTAGAGGGGTCCCCAGATGTGAGGGGTCCCTGATTGGTGAGTGTTTGCATAAAAAGCCACGTTGCCAGAAAGCTTAACTGTATTTCTGAATAGGTTCATCTGAGAGGGATTCGTGTGGCTGTCGCAGGTTCTTTTTTGGAAGTTGTTTCCGATGCAGAGTCCCAGCGAAAAGGAGAGAGTGTGTGTGTGTGTTCATCACAGAAGGTCTTCATCTGCGGGAAGAGCTTCCTAGAAGGCGCCATTCTAGGCTCTGCGCATGATGTTCTCTCAAATAGAGGGACACCTGGTCATTCGTTTTCCATCTGGTCATTGTTAGCATGTTGAAAAGAAAACGGTTGGCCCAAGTCAGGCTTCGAACTTCTTCCCGCGCCAGCCCGAACCGGCCCGATCACACGACACCTCACCTGCAGGTCCAGCACGCCTGGGTTTTTCGGAACCCCCAAACCTCCCCAGCTGGGCGGCCCGCGACCTCTCCCCATCGGCTCACCCGACCCCCACCGAGGCTGGGCTGGACCCGAGCTGCAGGTGCCGGTCCTCCAGTCGCGAGGCCTCGGCGTGCCGCACGCTGGGCAGCTCGAAGGCCCCGGTGAAGGAGATGGAGCCCTGGAACTCGGTGGGAATCGACCTCGGATGGAGACGATCCAGGATCGGGAACGCGAGGAAGTGCAAGACTTGCTTAAGTGGATTCAATGACCATTCCTGACCCCCGAAATTCCACCATACATGGAGTGTCAACTAAACTAGGTAAGAAATCCCATGTCAGGATCCCATATTTATGTCGGACGTTGCACCAACATGGACTGTTACATCCTTTGATGCAAAGCCCAAATGTGGTCTGCCAAGCGACATGGACAAGGCGGTCTGCAGCTCTTTCCTGAGAGGCAAAACAAGCGAGTCCTGTGGTCCATCATGCGGTTTCCTTTGAAAGAACGAGGATGTTGTTCTTGCAGGATCATCTCACTTGTATGCAGGATCATCTCACTTGTATGCAGGATCATCTCACTTTAACTTAGCATTTGACCTATAATACCAAGTTTTAACTTAGCATTTGGAAGATCTGCGTTGACCCATTCGTTGACCTGACCTCACCGTCGCTTGAATGCGTCCGCTCCGATCGGTCCCACCGAGCGATCCCCCGGTACCGTTCGCAGCGTGTCCTCCGCTTCGGAGCCGACGATCAAACGGTTCGCCCAGGCACAAGACCCAGATCCGTGTCAAGGTCAACAACTGTCGATCCACCGCCAGAGCATGTTCCTCGAGGAAGCGCAGAAGACGTGGAACGACCAAGAGGGGCGGTGTGTACTGTATTTTTAAGAGCCCGCGGAACCAAAACCAGCCCTGTTAGCCGATTTGCAAATCACTCAAGAGACTGAAAGTCCGTGTTTTTTCTTGTCCGTTGGCATCGTCTAGCCGTCTTCGCCATTTATATACATATAATTCCTGTGGCACCCAAGTCAGTGAGGGTGCTCAACTTCTGGCCTTTCAACAAAGCCCACAGTTGATTAACTGGTATCTTGAGTTTACTTACTGTAAGTGGATTTTATCGAGGAAAAGTTACAGTATATCCATTACCAAAATCAATGGTACCTGTTCTTGTTGGTATCTATGTCATGTCCATTAATTTTGGTTCCATTGCATGTTTAAAGAAAAATATATTGAATCTCAATCTCCAATCATTCTACAAAATGATATACAAGGTAAACATAAAATTGAAAACCCATGAATTATTACTTTACTTTGAATGCATTGTATGGTACCTGCCTCCAAAATCCATTGAACAACTCTTTAAAAGAACTGGATTGGACCAATAACAACTCCTCCCTCCCAACCGTTCGAGACAATTTGCCTTGATGTGCTGCATCATCAAGCCAAACTTGTCCATCTCACACTGAGGATGTCCGTTCAAGAACTTCTCCGCCCCGCAGTCGCAGGGATTTTGAGGCCTGACTCAAAAGGCACTTGCGGTCGGAGTGCCCTCCTGCACCCAGAGGGGCGGTCGCAATGTGTACCAAAGCATCAATTTTGACATTTGGTACATGGGGCAGGGTAGTGGTATTCGTACCTCTCCTGAAAAAAAAGAGAGCTGAAAAAAAAAACATGATCATGGTTACATGATATTACATGGATCGTCACTCCTGAAGTTTTGTCCCACACCATCAAAACGCTGCCCGGCCCAATGTCCATGCACATTCATGCGTTTCTTTGAAATACATCCACCAGCTGCTAATGGTCAATTGGTAACAAATCTGATCAATGAAACAGCAGAAAGGGGCCACTCTCTCAACAGCAGCGTCCTCCCCACCAGTTCGTCACGAGGTCTCAATGAGCGAAGGTGACTCTTCAGCCGAGCATCGTCCCACAAATGGAGACGTGCTGGTTCACACCTGTCGGCCGCGCGGCGTGAAACACCACCACACGGAGGTTGGGTGCGTGGTGCGCGTGAGAGGTCCCAGTTTCCGGTGCGTTTTCGGGCGCGTGGTGCACAGAGCCGATGGTGGGTCATGAAACCAAGCACATGTTCCTGGCCGAACACCGACATTGAGTGCTCATGGATGTGCGTGGATGTCATCCAATGCGCCCCCCAGTTAGCTGCCCAAAAAGTTTCATAGATATGAGAGTTCATCTTGGGTTGTGGCCACAGCTCTCCCAACAACTTGCCAGCTTCCCAACCATGTAGCCATGACACCAAACCAACCAGTTCGCTGATTCTTCAGATCCGTTCGACCGAACATCCTGCAGATCTCTCCGCGGACGGCAGGTCGCCGTCAAGAGCCCTTTTGGGTGAGTCCCAGGCACCAAAGATGCAAAGCCAGTAGGATTTCTCCAGCTCCTGGTTGAGTCCAGGCTCCGAGGAGAGGCATGTTCTGGTCGTGTTTCTCGGTGCAGCAGCGAGTCTTTGTTCAGTAAAAAACACACCAAGCCACCCCTTTCGTCTGTCTGTGTACGTCCAGGTCATTGAGTTGAAGACTCCAATGCTGGTTTCTGAAAGTGAGCCCAGTCAAGTCACGTCACGGGGGGGGAGATCGAAGGCACCCATGACCAGAGACTTCATGAACTTCTCACCTACCTCCAAGATGTGGTTGTGGAGTTGAAACCAGCTGCTCCGTGGACGTGTGGCCTCCTAGCATATAGAGACTATTTTTTCGAAGACTGATACCGGGTTCAGGGCCAGATCTTGTGTTGAATGGCAGCACTTCTACAAAAGCGTGAGAGATAGCAAGCATCAGTGGTCTTGAACATCGTCTTTGTCATCAGGACCCAATTGAAAACAGTTGCCTTTCCTGGCCTCTTGTACTGATGCACTACACTGCCCAGCACGACTGTGGGCGTCTGTCCCTCCACCCCTGGCCTCCTCACTCAGAACGTTCTCCGCGGGAAGAATTTGCCCCGAGGCATGGCCTAAGATCGCCTCCACCAACGCCATGAAGGAGTGGCCCCACCAATGCGACCTGGCAGCGATGGGAGGAGAAGGATCTCCAGCATGTGGTGGGCCCAACGGAATGGGGACTAAAAACATCTAACAAACCCACGAAGAGATGGAGCTGCTGCAGTACTTTGACGTCTTTAAAGCTGAAAGAAGCGTGACATCTGCGAAAGAACTAAAGAACTCGTCCTTTTTCATCCAAGAGGCATTAAACAGGTGGGCTCCTTTGCTCCTCCCTCGAAGAGATCCACCATGGCCTTACAGGATCTGCAAAAAGAAACACACACCGACCGTGTGGGCGTAATACCGCTGACCCTTTTTGGATCCCTTCAAAAATCTTTGTGGGTGTTGAACTGTTGGTGTTTCCGTGTTTGGAGGGGTCTGGCACGAGGGGAATGGTGGTGCCTTCACCAAAAGGCCGGCCCTCCTGCAGGCCCAGACTCTGGGAACCTCAAACCCAACACAACCCCTTGCAATCCTCCCGAGATCGTTGGGAGGACGGCCACCATCTCACAAGGTCCGAGTAGCACATTGCCGTTCTCGTGTTTCAGGGATCACAATGTCTCGTACCACCTGCGTGGCTGGTGCCGAGTCGACAAACACCTGCAAGCAGCGGCATACATGGGTTCAGAATACACTTCAGAGATCTTCAGAGTAGATGGCACAAAGTCAATCTTATGGCGAATAATGGTGAATAGAAAGGAGGAGAGAAAGAGAGAGAGAGAGAGAGCGCAGATTGGCTGTTGTTGTGCCATGGACTGAAATCGATGGCACACCCCAACTGGGCTACTAACTGGGAAATGAAAACCATGGGTGTCAGTATTGTGCTGAACCATGCTGAACCTACTGTGAAGGAGTCGAATCTGAATTGTGCTGTTCAATCAGTTCTCTTGGCCTTCCTTCTCTTGCCTTGTCTTCGATCTTCGATCGTTTTTGAAGCAAGGTCTTAGAGGGAGGAACAAGACTTCACAACCCAAAATCTCAAAATCTCAAATATAAGGGATCTCTTTACATCTGATTTGCCCTACCTATCAGGCCCTATCAGGCCCTACCTATCCTTCACTGCTACCCTCGATCCCTCTATACCAAGCACCCGCGCCTCGGCCGTGGTCATCTGGGCCAAGCCACGCGAGCGGTACCTGGGCCGAGCTGGGCAACGACCGGTGGAGGCGGACCCGGATCACGTGAAGGACGATCACGAACAGGTGCATGGAAGGAATGTGCCTGGTTCAAGGATCGGTGTTGATGAAATCTGATGGCACCTGGTGGCACATGTTGGGAGCCCACGAATTGCACCAGCTGGAGCAGGATCGCTCCTGTGTACCTATATGGTCCCAGTAGACCTAGACCTGGCTGTCAGGAAGTTAGACTGGGCGGTCTTCGCTCACCCTCTGATCCTGTTCAGAACCGATGGCGGATGATCTTGTACACCAAATCTCGCCATGCTCGCCCCCAAAAGAAGCAGAGACACCCGGGACCATCACTGTGTAGATGTGTGTCTAGATTACCCTGGTGGGGTTGGGGACACATGTTCTAGTGAAATTACACCCAGGGATCCCAGAACCCTTTTTCACGGTCTCAAAACGACCCTTTTGACGGAGGGAGACGAAGGGATTAGGCCCTGACCGCGGCCGCCTCACGTCTGAGAGACATGGACTCCATGTCTGGCACAGAACTCATGAGACCTGCTGGTCTTACGCATGACCACAGAACTCATGATACTGATATACTTAATTATATAGTAGCCTATGTTTACTATGTTTTCTAAACTGAGCACCCGTGAGCACCCGAACGAATTGCAAAAAAAAATGCGGAATGATCCATCACGATCCACATGCACGATCCACATCACTCCGATTTGGGGACACCCGCGGCCTCTTTCGGCACACCGAGACCCTCCGTGTCTTCGGTCTTCCGACGGCGTCTGAATCGGACGAAGTCCAGGCGCTTCTTCACAAACCTCAGCTGAGCTGAAAGGGACAGTTGTTACGACGGGGCACTTCAGGTGTCCCGGTGGGCCTTGGAAAACAACAGAGACGGGCTTACCCGGTGGGTGGAAAACGACAGACTCCCGGTGTTTTGGGGGGAGGTTTTGGACGTGGCGTACCCGGCGATCCTGGGGCTCGCAACGGTTTCAAGGCTGAGCTGAGCTGCTGATCCGTTGATCCAAGCAAGGACCAAAGGTCTCTACATCACTCTTCAGTATCAATGGAAAGGACTTGGCCCCTACGCAGCAGTAGCTGAACCTTTCAAAAACAGTGACATCCTGGCTTCGGAAACAGGCAGCTTGGGCCTGACAGCGAGAATATGCTTTAGCCGAACCCATCAACCCGTTGCCCAACGTCTGACACTGACTTCTGGACATTGTCAACATCAATTCGCCACCAGCCCCCGCCCAAACAGCAAAGACAACAGATTCCAAACAGCCTGCATTCTAATTACCCAACCCCCTTCAGCAATCGGCTCATCATCTTCAGCCTTCAGCTCACCTCTTTTCACATCTTCAACCAAGCATCTCCTTCCACTACACTCCAAGCTTCAGCGATCCAGCACGCGCCACCCACGGTTCCCCTCACGAAAAAAACCCAGCGACGACTTCCCGCTCCTCTTGATTTCCCGCCCTCGTCCACCCAATCCAAGAGGCTGGATCAGTTGCCGCACGCTGAAGCCCCGTTGGTACAACGCCCGCGCCGTGCTCCGTGGGGACCGGACCCGCGGGACCGAGCGAACGGACGGGACCGAACGCTCGAAGAGCCAGTGGACGAAGGGGACCACGTCGATCTCCTCAGAGCGGTGAGGAGGTCGACTGGTTGAGGGGCTGGTTGAGGGCTGGATGAGGGTCTGGTGTATTGGCATCAGGGTGCTGGAAGACAGGTGTTCTTGAGGTCAGGGTGCTGAAAAAAGGAACCAGTAAAAAGGAACCATTCAAGAGAGAGAGAGAGAGAGTTTGACAAGCAAAAGACTAAGAGTATACGCATTATACTGTGTGTGTGTGTGCATGTATGAGTGTCTGTGTTTGTGTGTGTGTGTCATGCTTTCATTTGGTTGAGACTGTGTGGTGGGGGACTAGATCATCCAGATCTGACATCCATGCTAGGCGCCCGCGTTTTGATGGTCCTTTGACCTGATGCTTGGGGGGTCGACGAACCCCTGCGCTGCACGGATCGCGCAAACCACAAGAACTGCACCAGTTCGGTTCACGGCTCTGCATGTTCACGAGCTTACCAACCATTTCGATGTTGTCAAGTCGAAGATGATCTCCAGGGGTCACAAGACAGGGTGGTTTGGTTCGTCCCATCCAGGGGCTGTGGATGTGACAGGGGCACCCAACTCCTACCTCCATGGATCGCACCCCTTACCGAACGTGACTGCTGGTGACCTTCAGTCATGTTGCTTCAAGCAAAGGGCCCGACCGATGTGTGAGCCAGCCTGAGCCAGCCTTCACCTTCGCCTTCGTTGGCTTCACGCCGAAGAACACCGGAAGAACCGACGAAGAAGCGTGCGCGAACCCCGAAGCCCGAACCCCGAGACCACCTCGCCGCCGACCCGGGGCGGAAACCGGATCCTGGATTATCCAGTGATACACTATGTAGGACGTAGGAGAAAAAAAACAAATAATACTTATTAAGAAGTTGCGAGAGATTATCATAGACTATTCATCCCAACCTGTGGGATGAAAACTTTCTGTCAAATGCTGGGACATGGAAACATTGGATGGATCTGCCTTGATCCGAGCAGCACGAGCGTCGGTTCCCGCAAAGGCCGACAACCTCAGAGGCCAACCCGCCGGTGTTCCTTGTTTCTTCCGTCGCACACTGATCAATCTGGGAATGGAGACGAGACTCGTCGGCGCTCTTACACTCGGCCAAAGAACGTCAATGGGCGTAGGAAAATCAAACGGAAAAAGGAAAAACAAAACGATGCACACAAAAAATACTTAAAAGGATGTAAAAGGTATATATCCCCGTCCTTCTCAGTTACCGTAAGTGTGGATACCATTTGGGAAACCGTTCAGGTGGAACCTCCCGCCTGAACGAGCCGTTCGATGGGAGGAGCCGAGTCTTTGTTCTTTTGGGGGAGGGTGTTCCAATGGTAATGAGCTTGACTATGTCAAGCCATTGGCCATGTCAAGCTACAATATAGAAAAGGGAAGAAGACAAAAACATTGGACGTTTTGTTGCTTCTATCAAAGCACTTAGAGTCGACTTAATTTTGTGATTTCAAAATCCGTTCAGGTCGACTATGGAGTGTACCAAATTCCAGGTCAACGGTTGAGATTCACCAGAATCTTCAACCACCATGAGCGACCCTTGACAGAAGATGTGATAGGCCCACTCGGCAAACATGGTCAAGAAACCCAAGCAATCCAAGGCGCACAATCAATGCTGAAATGCATTTACAAATCATGAATGCACGCTGCACGCTTTGATTCTTCTTGAATCAACTGCATTCGAGCCACAGTTCGGCCACCATGCCCTCCTGGAAGTCGCCAATCGTTGACAGCAGCTGCTCCAGATCTCCCCGCGCCGCGCGCGCATCGACGTTGAGACGCCGGAAGAGGTCGAGGATTGCAGCGGCCATTCTTCGAGCATCGCGAAGAGTGGAGTGGAACAGGTCAAAGGAGCCGTGAAAGCGCGGATACACCAAAACGGATTCCAACCATGAATTAAAATAAGGAAAAAGGTCGAAGAACCCTTGTTTTGCTAAGGATTTTACACTCAAAACCAGGTCTTCTCGAGATGGTGTTCATTGGCCTTTCTTCTTCAACAGCGGAAAGGTGAGGATTTGGGACAGCCCCAACTGTGATCGATGGCTTGTCGAACGGCTGTCTGGCCGGCAAGTAGATCACAATGAACAGTGGGCTCATGATGGCTCATGGGGTTTTTATTTGTTTCTTATTTGCTTTCTTTGGTGATCAAGTGCTAGGCTCTAAATTAGTTTGGGGTATTGGAGAAATCGCCAGCCTTTCAGAAAACCAGTCTTCGACTACCAGCACCACCCAGTTCGGGTGGTATAACTGGTAGTGCTGACCCCAATAACCCGTTTTTTTACATTGGGTGGTGCCGATCAATACGTCGCTTTTTTAAGGCAAACCAAATCGGTGACTTCACATGACTTCACTATAAGTGCCGAACAACGCAACCGTTGACCCCGCCCGTTGTCCCAGCTTTCGGACTCCGAAGGGAGTGTCCCACGGATTCGATTTTTTGCGCGTCACCTGAGAAGATTGCTGTTTTCGTTTTGCCGGTTTTGGGGCAGCTGCTTTTACAATATAATGTCCGAAGAATGTCTGAAGGGATACAGTTCAAGTTCAGTACATCATCTGCATCCTTTTTAGGCAGTCAAACTTCGAAAAAGTCGGTGTCTTGGCATGTTGCATGGTTTCGTCGGGCACCTTTTGATCTGCAAAGGCTGCGCAAAAGGCCAATCACAAGTCGCAAAACATCACAAGTTGTCGTCTACAAAATATCTGCAGTCAGAATCAGAATCTGTCTTGAATCTCTAGAACATTGCTATTTATATAACAGATTATACCAGCCACTTTCTCGCCATGCTGCATTCAGGAGAGTGTATACTTGCCCCAGATCTATCCTAAAAACCTCAAAAGTCAGCCACCTGCCTGATTCCTACCCCACCAGCACCCCTTCCAACCACGAAGAACCCCCTTCCAACCACCGCCACACCCACAGACCTGACCAGGCACCTGTTGGATGCAGGCCTGCGTCGCGGATTTGGGATCCTGCAGGCCCCGCAAACCGCTGACATAGTACTCGTGCATCGACCTCGCGACGGAACCGCGGCTTCGAGCGACTTCCGCGGCTTCGCGAGCTTCGGCGGCGTCGCGCGGGGGGCTTCGGTCGGCCGACAGGATCTCACGATGTCTCGAAGGAACGAAGTTGCCGGGGTCGGTTGGTCGGTTGGTCGGTTGCGCAGGAGGGGTTTGCGGTTGGTCGGTTGCAGATGGGATGGGTATAGCTTGAAAACAGGCAACATGGACAAGTGCTGGCGATGTCGCCTGTTCCTGGGAAATCCTCTAAGACGACCCTTCTCCAACCTCAGAAACGACTACACCGACCACACCGAAAGCAATGAAATCACTGGAAAAAGCTCCTGGCTCCCTGGGCACTTCGGATGAGAGACATTGGATCCGTCAGTCCGGAACACCGCCAGAATCGGTGCACACGGTCCCAAATCCGTCGTTCTACTGGCAGCATGGAAAGGCAGCTGCATTGCAAATGGATGGCGCCACTCATGTGCAAACAACGTTGGCTGTACTCATCGGCTCATGACTGACCATGATGGTCCAAGGTGCATATGCAGCTTCCGCAAGGGGGGCGCCTGGGCCGCTGGAGCGCTCCTGAACGGCTCTGTGGACGGCGGCTGGCTGGAAAAGCCACTCATGGCCCGGAGAAACAGGTCTTAAATGGTTTCTGAGCGAGAGTAGGTTCTATCATCTCTGGTGTATGTTTGGAAAGCACCAATAAAAAAAAGATCTATCACTATAATCAGCATCATGTGTCAACAAATGAAAACAACTAACACTGATATGTTGAACAAAAACATATATCTTTGTTCACCGACCAACAACACATAACAAAACTATTGGAGGGGTGTTAATTCCCAACGAAACCCGTTGAATCATTCCCCACCAACGAAACCGGTCCAACATCGATCCGATTCGACACCGGAAAACAAGGTCCACGACCAGTTTTGGTTGTGTACACCTAAGAAACGATGTAATTCTAACAAATCTAGCGGTTGACAAAAAGCACCTCCTTCTTGGCTCCACGCAAACCTTTATGAAGCAGCATTTTTTGCGGTTTGGACCAGCAACTGGAAGTTGAATGTATGTAATTCTATTGTGTTTCGATATGATACACTCGAGGTCAGTTCTGGTCCGCGTAGACTTCGTCATGGAACGTTGACGTACTTCGAAACTGCCTACTTAGTGACGGACTACTCAGCTGTAGTAATGGTTGAATGATGTTCAATTTAAGCTCTCTACTTATGGGAACGTCTATGTAGAAGTGGGTGTCTTCCAAATAGGAACTGGGTGTCAGAATAGCAAGGTACCAGAAAGACACTCACTTGTATAAATAATTAGAAGTTCCTTTACTATGTAATATATCTATTATCTATATAATGATGATCTCAACGTGTCCTTGGTGCAGTGAGCCCGACACCCGGGAAGTAGCGAAGTCGTAGATGGTGGGGAATCTTCTTAGAGAACCCCGTTTACATGATATCAGGTGGCCAATCCAAGTGACCAAAAGGTGGACCAACGAGCTGAAGTGACCCCCCAGTGACCTCCTCAATCCACCTTCCCAATCCTTTTCTGGATGATTTCTGATAGAGAGATCACAAAAAAAAAAAAACACACTCCTCACCCGTGTCACATGTTCGAACATGACACGGGTGAGGGGTTAACGACATGCTTCCCAACAGTCCAACGACCAATGACCAACGAGTGGACCGACCGCAGAGTCGAATATAAGACGACCTGGGTCGAGTCTCGAGTGCGTTTTGAGCTCACCCTACAAGTCAAAGCCCTCACACTTACTCCGGATGGTCATACTTAAAAGCAATATACTTAAGGCAAAAGACTGGACTTGTACTGGGTCAGACTGGACTTTTTGGGGGGGATCTAAAAAGATCCTGAGGCACCCCACCGAGAGGGCACAAAGGCCGCCTGGCCCTGACAGGTCATCGGGTGAAAACTCCAGTACCTACGAACCTCTTGGGAGATCCCAAACGTTTCACCCCCACCAAATTCATTCCAAACTGCCCAGTTAGTCAACATCAAATCATCCAACATCAGCCCCCAAATCATCCCCAAATCATCCCCCCAGCCAAAAACATTATATTTCTCCCCTTGTACCTCCTTCTTTCGCAAAAGATCGGACCGAAGAAGACCAGGTGAGCTGCCACAATGGATCAATTCGAGGTCGCGCGGATCGCCCCGGAGGACTTCGGGGAGGATCTTGGGGAAAGTAATCTATAGCGGATTGAGAGTAAGTAGATGGCACATACCCCAAGAGGTGGTTTATATGGACCCCATCTAAAAGACATCTTGGGGTCTGTGCCATCGAGCCTCTGAAACCACTGCAAGAGATATCAAGATGTTACTATATAGGGACTCTTCTGGCCGTGGCGTGTTACCGACTGTCACCTCGGCCGCGTGGCGCTAGAGTCTCGGCCCGGGACGATGGAACGATGGTGGGATGATTCTGGGATGACTTTGTCGAGGATTTCATGTTGGATGATTTCGCTGTGTTCTTTCGTGGATTTGGGGCTGATTCGGGCCAGCACGATCTCGTCGCCAGGTGAACTGACCGGTCAGTTCATCAGTGGTCGGTTGGAGCACGATGTCCGGGACCCCTTCACTCCTTTTGCCCCCAAAACCCTCGACTGCGTGGCTCTGTAACGACCTGTCGTACTTACAGTTCCGTTTCACAAGAGGCGATTATCCAGTTGGATCCACTTGGTGCATCGTTGGTGCTGATGGAGCAGTTCTCCTGCAACCGCAAAGTGCCATCGAAGATAACAAAGCCACAGGGTGCTCATACCATCTCCCATGGCTCTTAACATCTTTTAACTGGTGCAGCATTTCCTTCAAATGCTTGCAGTCCAGAGACCCAGCCAAAAAAGATGGTGAAGCTTCACTCCAAAATACCAACAAGTGTCAGGGCTTCCAGCAAAAGTCTTGACCAACCACAAACCACCGGGCTTCTCCGTGGCTCGAGCCACGGATCGACAGGATTCGCCTCCGCCGTCTTGCGCAGCACTGCCACAGCGCCCCGGTTCTGCAAGACGCCGCCTGGGGGGACCACCGGCGCCGTTTCCCCCGAACGGGTTCGGCCGGTTGACGTTGGTTGTGGAAGATGAGGCACCGCACGACGAACGAGGAGGCGCCGAACGGGGATTCGAAAGACGTGGAACCAAGGAGAGACTGGATTTGGAATACTGGTTGGTGTTTTCAACCCACTTGAAAAATATTAGTCAGAGGGTCCAATCATACCCAAGTAAGGGTTGAAAATAAAAATAGTCGAAACCCATCACCTAGAATATATAGAGTTGCCTACATTGAAACCCTAAAAAATCAATTAAATCACCACTCATGTGGCATACAGTTCCATACATGGAGTGGAACTGGGATTTTTCGGCCCATCACCGAACCAATCGCGGTGTGGAGTTTGTTCGGCCCACGCACCTTTGGTTTGGGTGAGGTAGGTTGAACTCGGCCCTTTCATCTCTTCATGTAGCGTTCGGCTGCCCTGTAACCCAGGGAAGAACATCTATGAACACATGAACCTCTCTTCATGTAGCGTTCATGGGTCCGAAGACAACACTCCAATCACACGATGACCCACTTCTATTTGAGCCCTTTGAGCCAAGTGAGGACTCCTGTTTCAGTCGGACAACCTTTCACCATGATGTTGTGTGTATGAGATCATCCACACTGGGCGAACAAC